TTAACATGCTAACGGGTAAGGTTAAACCTGCTTGGTACATTTTTTCACTGATGAGAAGGATTTGACATTATATGCAACACATTAATATTCTTTACTCACTTACTTATAGAGAAGGGAACCAATCTGCGGATTGGCTGGCAAAATGGAGAGTGCAAAGTGCTTTTGTTGGGGTTACTCCCCCTCCTATGTTGCACACTCTTATTCAAAGTGACTTATTGGAAGCCCCTTATATTAGAATTTAATTATGCTTCGCTTTCCTTTGTCTTTAGTCTCTGTATTGGGCTTAATGTGGCAGTTTTTTCTTTTGAATACTGGATTGGTTTTTCAGGGCTGCAGTTTTTCTATGTATATGTTTATTTGGATGGATGCTGGAAGATTGTTTTGCACAAGCCTGTCTTACCTGGATATTGGTCTTAAATGTATTCTTGGATCTCTTGTTTGGCCTAGATTTTTGGGAGTTGATAAGGAAACCCCTTACTCTATCTTACTTTTGTTTCCTCATCACTTGATTTTTGGTTTTCTGTTTTGGGATTATTATGGCAGACTTTGGTTAGCTAGAATGGTGATTTTCTTTGCCTTTTGGATGGATGATGGTTGCCTGTGTTGGTCCAGACTGTGTTTGCAGGATACTGGCCTGTTTTTTGTTTTGCTTAGCTTCAATTTATCCTCTGGCCAGCTTATTTGGGGTGATGTTGTTCTTATTATTTGGGGTGATGTTGTTCTTATGTTGTTCTTATATTTCTTATGTTCTATACTATTACTTCTTCCAGATTACTTTTGCTGATTTGGGCCTTTTCTGCCTGGATTTGTCCTCTGTGGGGAAGATTTTTTTTGGCATACTTTATGTATGTTGGACACTGTTACGTTTTCGCCTTACCTTGGATTTGTCCTATATGTTACTATGGTTACTTTGGGTGTTACTGGCTGACCTAATTGAGGTCATTCTAGATTACTGGAATTTTGACAATATCCCTTTCTGCTTCTACTACTTTACTGAGTATTGGGAGATTGATCTTGAGATGATTATGCTGACTTATTTACTTTTTATTTATACACAATGTTATCTTTGCTTACATTGCTTTCACTGGTTTGTTGAGCTTTGCTTGTTGCAGCCCCACTTTGTTATGGCCGAGAGAGACATTGTTGTTTGCAGGGTTCAATCTTTTTTGTTGTCCATCTCAATGGACAAAGTAGTCACAACTCTGCTTTTGCTCTGCTTCTTCACAGTTGAAATTGATTTTAGTATACATGTAATTTCTGGGTATACTTTTTATTTTAGTTTACTTTTAGTTAAATACACATGTTATTTTGACTTTTTTGCATGGAATTGTAATGTGGATGGTGGAACCCCTAGGATCATGATGTATTTTTTAAGATGGGGATCCACTATCCCACCTCTATTTTGTAATCTCTTTTAATATTAACGCGTAAGGAGCCATGAGTTGTCCTTTCTATGGCTAATCTAGTTCACACGTCTTTTTTTTTATGTCGTATGTGTTGAGGTGAGGGTAAAGAGGAACCCTAATCGTCCTATGAAGGAGATTTTAGCATCCTATAAGGTGCCTCTACTAAGTCAAGTGAGAGTTCCTCACGAGCTTCCACCTCATGTTAAACATTTTAACTCCTCAATGGTCGAGAGATTGCAGACCTTGAGCAGTCATACAATTGTGGCAACAAAATATGGGCCGACGATTTGATGACTACATAGACCATTATTAATGGTAGTATGAGTATCAGGTTCAATTCAACTCAACGTTGGTCAATATGTTTCAGCACTGCCAACAGAATGTGGGGTCCAAAGCTGCCCAATTTCTTGATGCCTCCAAGTTTTGATGGTGCGAGGACAACACCCGGTCTATGAAGGCTGATGATGATGAGGGAAATGAGGAGAGAGTTGATATCTTATGGCGCTTGGTTGTTAGTGTTTGTTTAGTATTTGAATATTCGTGTGTATTGCTTTGTTGTGTTGTAGACTTGTGATGATTGTTGTTTATTTTTTGCATTATTTCATGTCTTGTGATCTTAAACATTTTATATTATCACTACATAATGTCTATGTGATTTTCTTTCAACTATAGTATTTTTCTCATGTGTGATGTTTTCTTACTATTTCATAGCATGTTTAAATTATTTATTTCTCGAATAAATGCAGGTTATGTTTTTATTTTCATATGATTGATTAATTATTTCTTAATTTTAAACTATAAACTCTAGGGTAGCCTTAATTTAGATTTATTATAATTTAATAATATATAAATAAAATGGTTAAAAGTGACACAATACTTAGTAATCATTCAATTACTTATTAATACAATAATAAACTAGGTTTAATAAGTTTTTTAATACTAAAATTCTTAAACACGAGCTTAATTGACTAAAAATAAAATTAATTAATCAATACATTAACAAGATAAGAGTAGTCCTTAACTAAAAAAATGAAATAAAGAAAATTTTCAAAGTTAAAAAGAAGTAAAAATCAATGAGCACGTGAGGAGAAGCTTAAGACAGCCTATAAATAAATAATTGTACACATTTTTTTTCTAAAATTAAAAGGATCAAAAACTTTTTTGATTGAACTTTAGAATATTATATTCAAAATTAGAATAATTAAATTAATTTTTTTTTTATTATTGATAGGCATAACTGAGTTATATATATACGATAATTAAAGCTACTTTGGTCAAAAAAATGCATTAAGTGGTTTAAACATAATTAGTGTAAAGTTATGATATTATTTGTTATTAAAAATTAAATTTTTTAATAATATTTGTGCACTTTGATTAATTTATTTATTATACTATTAAATAACAATACAATCATAAGATAAGTATCATGAAAAATTCAAACGTTAAAATTTAGTTATTGAATTACTTAGGGACCAATAATGTTAAGATTGAGGGAGTTTGATGTGTAAGATGTGACTTGTACAGTGCGTTTATTATTCTTTTTTTGTGCAATTTTATGCTTTTTTGGTTATATATTGTGTATATGCTTTATATTTGAAAAAATTGAGCACTCAAATGTATTGGCGCCCTAACTCCTGAAAGACGTGTCGCGACATTAAAAGAAGAGTGTTGCACGACAACATATCAATGAGCATGGCACTACGACGCTAGAAGCCAGTGCTCCGGCACACAGGGAGCATGGCACTACGATTCGTTCGATAAGTAAACGAGACGAACGTGAATTAGTGCCCTAAAACCTATAGAAGTCCTAAATTGAAGATTCAAAAACACAGGAGGCGGCGCTCAAACCAACCGTTGTTGCACCCAATGTTAGGGCCCCGATGTTACATCAGTACTAGGGCTGTCAAAAAAAGCTCATTGTTCGCGAACAGTTCGTGTTCAATTCGTCAATGAGTTCGTGTTCGATTCGTTCGATAAGCAAACGAGACGAACACGAACAAATTTTTTTGTTCGGATTGCTAAACGAACCAAACACGAACAATGACCCGTTCGGTACGTTCGTTTGTGTTTGAATCGTTATTGTTCGAAATATAAAATAATTTCAAATAGTTATATATAAAAAATTTGAGATATTTTAAAAAATTAAATTTTATAAATTGTAATATATAATAAATTAATAATAATAATGTATTGATATACTATATTAGTAATATACTAATATAGATATTATATATTTATATAATAGATTAACATAATATATTATATTATGTTATTTATATATATTAATATTAGGGATGTCAAACTGGCTCATCGTTCGCGAACAACTCGTGTTCGGCTCGTTTGTTAAGAAATAAACACGAACAGTGACTTGACGAACAATTTTGAACACGAGCTTATTTCAAACAAACTAAATTTCAAACGAACCGAACACGAACACAAGCGTTGTTCGTTAGTGTTTGGTTCGTTTACACCCCTAATCAGTACTAACTTGAAGATTCAAAATCACAAAAGATGGCACTCAAACTCACCGTTGTTGCACCCGATGTTAGCGCCCCGATGCTACATCAGTAGCGCCCCGGCGCTCCAACTCGACATAGGGGAGTAGCGCCCCGGCGCCCCGATGCTACATCAGTAGCGCCCCGGCGCCCCGATTCGGTAGAAATTTCTTCATGTAAAAGTGGATTCAGAGTGAGGATGTATGCAGGCAGATGACTTGTGTGAGTATTCAAGAAAGGAAATGCATATAAATAAGGACTGGCTTGGAGTGAGAAGAATTTTAATTCATGTTTTTCTTTCCATTTATTTTTGTAAACATTATTTTATTTTCAAAAAATTATCCCTTGTTTTCTTCACAAATGTCTAATCACTTTTCTTGCTTCTTTGAATTGGTGTGTTGTGAAAGTCCTTGTTCAATCTATGTAAAATTCTTAAACTACATGTATTATATGTTGATGAATTATCATTCGTAGGGTTAATGGAGCTTAACTATAATATGAGACTCCAATGATTCTTATGTCTCCGAAGAGAATAAAGAGTAATTGTCACTGATTACCAATAATAAAAGAGAGAATCTAGTGGATAAACATAGAATCTTCATATAATCCAACTCAGTAGATTTTTTTACCTTTAGCCAAAATAAGAATCATTAGTCTTCACCAAAAAATTTTAGGACTTATTAAAAACCTTTAAAATAATTGAAACTTTTGATTTAAACTGAAAGTTAGTGAACTAGTAATTAAACTAATTTTGAAAGCAACAAAATTTCATATGGGACCGATAACTCATCCTCATAATCTGAATATTACTTGATTGACACATATACATGCATGATTAACACTCGCATTACAGCAAAGTTGGTCATTTTTTCGTGATATTAATCACTCTATACACACAAATCAAATTGAAGGAAAAAGAGTTGAGATAAATAACTCATGTCTTCAGCCACAACTTCTCCAGATCCATAAAGTCCACTTTAGGATGCACAAACCTTTTCTGTTGGCATGGTTGTTGTCTGCCTATTCATGTGATGATCGACGAAATTGGAAAATCCACAGCAGCAACGAAACAGCCAAGTCGGACAAGTCGAAGAGACTGAGCAATGAAGGTCTAGGGCCGCAAAATGACAAAGAAGCAAGTTCGGATGGCCAAGTAGTGGTTGAAGAGATGAGATGTGCCTAGTTGATGCCAAGATGCAGCAAAGCTACGGACGAAACAGAAAGATCAACAACAGCAATGACAAAGAAGTTGTGTGAGTGAAAGAGCTGGAGCAGCCAAGGTCTAGTGCGAGTTGGGATGACTTTTGTAAATAAAAAATTTTAAATTAGTGAGGCAGCGCCTTTAATTAAAAGAAAAAAATTGATATAGGATCAATTCATATCAATTTTTAATAGTCTGAAAATGATATCGAGCATTTTAAAACTCCCAAACTAAATTGGTCACTTATAGATAGTCGAGGGACTGTTTTGAGCTTTTGCTCAAATGCTAGATATTCACTGGTGGAAATAAAAGAATGATTCTGCTATAAATTTGACTTGTCAAAACAGGCTAGCGATGTGTGATATTTGAAAGTGGGAATTAAAAAAGCATGTTGGGTATGTTGCATAAAAATCATCTTAATTTATTAGAATTAAATGAAAATAACCTCAATAAGACAATGGAGAAAAAGAATTCATGCAGCCGACCCCACTTGCTAGGATAAAGGCTTGTTGTTGTCATTGAAGTAAAAAAGCAAGTGTTTCAAGCCAAGAAGCAGAAGCCTCCAACTTCCATTTCTATCTATATAAAGTGAATAATCTCACTTAATAGTTCGAAATTACAGATAAAACCCATTTTCTAGGAAAACATTCTCACATGCAATCTCCAAAAAGCTACAGTTTGTGATTAGACTTGCTTTATGTCATGGTCTAAGAAATACCGAGTTCAAATAGATTAAGGTGATGAATTCCACCCAGCTTCATAGAAACTTTCAACATATAGACTTTTTCTACTCCAAAAAAAGCCATCTAAAAGTCTAAAAATGTGTTTCATCAGTTACATATGACACCTTACAAATCATATGGTGTTGAGATTTTAAAGTTCCTAACTTACTAGCAAATTGAGTAAGTACTAAAAAATTTTCAAACCCTGATGAATAAGCCAACAACTGCTTTTAACCAAGTTATTCATCAAAATCATACATAAAAGAAGAGAAAGAGGGATGGACAAACAATAAAATCTTAACAGCAATAAAAATAAGAAGAATGTATCACGCAAATTTATGCATATGGACATTCATAGTTCAAGGTAGCGGATCAAAGTCTTAGTCATACAGTAACATGTGAAACAGCAGTGGCTTCGACCATGTTACATTAGAGTCCATCTCAGTAAATCAGTGAAACGCATGTCAGATTGTTCATCAGAGTTATAATTAGGTCAAGATAATTAATCAATGATGCTTTACGTAGTGCAACACTAACATCATCAATTAAAAAAATAACAGAAAATGTAAGAAACTAAATTGTAACAAAAAATGTATTTTCCCTATATTTTCCCTACAAAGAAAGAAATACAAAAAGTAGCAAGACCTCACTGCAGAAATGTTTCATTTTCTTTCATTTTCACAAGAAAAAATGATGTTATATTTGGGAGAAAATCAGAAGAGTGTTCTATAGTCACAAATAAAATCACAAAATCAAAAGTAAAATGGATGTACAACTCTGAGTAAATACTAAATAGTGCGTGTAAATATTTAAATTTTCAGATGGAGAAGTCTCAAATCTCAAGCTAACAACAAGCGTGCAAACAACTTTGAGTGATCATGGGTTATGAAGATAACCATAATAAGAAGATAGCATGGCACGCAACTTCAGAAAAAAGAAATATATACAAAATGACATGTGAGACAAAACATCACAGGCTTAATAACCAACCTTTAAATATTATCTTTAAATGGGAATAGCATAAAAATAATATTACTAGGAAAGCAAAGAAATTAATCAAAACCAATATAGGGCAAGCAAAGATCAAATTTTTCAGTGAGAAAGACTTAAGCTTCCAAGCAATTGACAACAAAAACAAAACAAAAACTAGCTTTTTCCCATATTAAAGAGATACAATAAACTTGCGACTATACCAGGATCAGCATTTCTCAAGTGCATCTTCAATTAGCTTCAATGATAAAGACAGGAGCTTCGCCTTTTGCATGTGTAGCTGAATCTCAGTAATTTCCAACTTCTTACAACTTCCCTCCAACGCTTTTGCTTCTACAATAGGTATATGACTCTGCATTACTAATGCATTGTTGGCATGGTCAGTCTTGGCATGCCATCGTAGAAAAGGATACTCAACTATCAGATTACTTTTCTTTCCTTTCTCCACCATAATGCCCTCCTTCACTTTATCTAGCTTGAAATTATTATCAGCAAAAACAAGTTCCTCCTTGCCAGGACCCCAAATCTTCCTCGAAAGATCAAAAGCAGCAGCATCTTGGGCATTAGAAATGTTTGGCTTATTAGCATCCTTTACTTTTTTAATAGTAGCGTTGTACTTCTGCTTCAGCCTACGAATCTTGTCATTCATCTGGGTCAAGGTGACTGAGCTGGATAAAGAATTATTCACAGATTTCAGAAGGGACTCCGCCTGCACATGAATGGATGTCCCGTGATGGAGCTCATTATTATCCAGAATGCATTGCAGCAAGGCCAGCTCATCTGCCTTGCTCCAAATCTTCCTGGTAATCTCCTTCTTCTCCTGCCCTCCCTCTGCTCCGATTATATCAGCAGTCTTCCTCTTTCTTTTGGAAACTTGGGTGGGGGAGGTCGTGGATCGCTTCCTAGATATGGGTTTCTTGTCCGAGAGCTGAACAGGGCTGTCCATAGGCTTGGAACTCAGTGGTTTCAATGAAGGATCGACAGTGTTGCGAGCGGAACCCAGAGGAGAAGGTTCAGTCGTGTCAGAATCAGAACTGCTTTCCGACTCATCTTCTGAGCTTGAGTCCAAGCCAGAAATTGGGGCTGCCGCTTTCTTCCCCTCAGCGTTTGCGGCTTCTTGGGGAGGAGGAGGCAGCGACTGCTGCTCCGATTCAGAACTGGAATCCTCCCCCTCAACATCTTCTTCCCCATCTTCTTCTATATCTTCTGAGTCTGTTTCAGAAGGAGGAGAGGCATTCAAACCCTTCTTACCATCCGATGTTCTAGAATCTCTAAGCTGTGACGGTGGGTTTGCTTTTGCTGCGACAGCCCCGGAATCCTCGGATGATTCATCGTCCGTAGACTCTCCTTCGCTCTCAGAGCCCTCCTCCTCCTCCTCCTCCTCCTCCTGTCCGCCGATGGGCTTTGAGGAAGGCTCTGGTTGCTTTTGTAGAGCTGCCGTGGTGAAGCCAGCGGCAGGATTCTTTACGGGTGAAATCGCAGGGGGAGGAGAGTCCTCTTCGGAGGAGGAGGACGGAGAGGGAGGAGGCTTCATCTCCTTCGCCTTCTTGGCCATGATCGCTACCTGCTGCTAGGGTTTCTGTCAGTGGAGGGCTTTAACCCGCAAATGGAAGCCTTAACAACTGGGGGTATTTATATATATACCACCCAAATCTTGTGTATTTAAATTTATCTAATGGCTCAACTTTAACATCCAAATATTTCATGTAACACCAAAATTATCTCTCTTTTAAATTTCGAATAAAATTTTTAATGCATAAGTATAGTGGAATATATGTGAAAATTAAAGTTTATTTTTTTAGCATATAATTACATAGGAATTAAGTGATATAAATGAAAGTCTTCAGCATATTTACATAGGAATTAAGTGATATAAATGAAAGTCTTCCAAAATTTTATTATTTACATAACTAACAACTAATAAATAAGATATTGTGGTTTTTCCTATTTTTACCTCACTCTCATCTAACTCTTTGGAATTATTCACTTGAATTTCCAAAGTCTTATTGAACCTACAAAAACAACACTCTGTTAGCACTCTCCCTACCTAATTAACTCATTCCTTCCTGCCAATTCATCTCTTCAATTTTTCTCATGCTCGACTGACTCTAATACCTTTACATTCTCTTTTCAGCCTCTGTGACAGCAAGAAGTTTGATAACCAACCTACAAAAACAACACCCTGTTAGCACTCTCCCTACCTAATTAAGTCATTCCTTCCTGCCAATTCATCTCTTCTATTTTTCTTATGCTCGACTGACTGTAATACCTTTACATTCCCTTTTCAGCCTCTGTGACAGCAAGAAGTTTGATAACGTGGGAGGATTTTTTAGCTTTCACTCACCATAACAGTCTCACGAGATCAAACGTTAATGTTGTGGTGCTAACGTTGTTGTACTCTTCGTTCAAGTAGTTTGTACCTCTTTGCAACATGATTGTCTTTAGACGAGAGCATATTTAGTTTCCATTTGCAAGAGACTTCTGATTTCTCCTGACCATCTCATTGCATCTCCTTATGGTGACCTTGTGAATTGTTCATCTCTATAGAAAATTAATCTTTCACTTTGTGTATTGTTCATCTATGACCTAAAAATTTTGAAACTCTCAACCAATAAATTCATACATGAGCTACCCAAATCACTCTTCAATATCATCGATTTGAAAATGTTTTAACAGAAGCCCACAAAGAAGAGAGGAAAGAGTATTAAGAGATTGCTAATTTATAAATAGTGAACTTCTAAGTGTTATGTATGTAGGATGAAAGCAATGTTCTCGGTCGAATACAGTCGGCCTCATCATTTGATGAAAAAACCTTGCTAAGCGGCAAAAAATGAATGACGAAGGTGTGATGCTTGCGCTCGATCCAGTAGAAGAAAAATGGGCTAACACAGCTTTTCAACATATAGAAGTAAAGATAAGAACGACTCGATACTACAACAGAGATGTTTGAGAGGACAAATTCTTCCTCAAGGATCTTGCATTGAAAAAGGCCATTACAGCTACACAAGGATAAGCGGTCAAAATATTAGATCGGCCAATTCATCATCAACCAATGAGTCACCCAAGGAGTAATAAGCTAAGGACGTGTATGGGAAAGGGAGTCTGTTGTACATGGAACGATGATGACCTTTAGAACTTCCTTTCCTTGGAAAATTTCTTGTATCATCATGAGTAAAAACTAAATGCATTTTTTTGTTCAAATCGAAGAATTTTTACACAAGTAACTATTAAAGATATGACCCAGCAAATTGTGTGTCTAATCCTATGTTTAAACAGTACTCGGAGAACTCGAGGAGTTCACACGAATTGATACCAAGCAAACATCTTGGGAACTTGAACCTGTGTGGTAAGACTGATAGCGATGCAAGACTTTCGATCAATAAAAAATAATAATAAATCAAGAACAAAGTAAGATTTTTGATCGATAAACTCAACTAAAATGACCAACAACAACGCGAGACATCAGATTGACATTATTAATGAAAGTCGACCCTTAATGCCCAAGCATCAACAAAAATATGTCTCCTAAATCGGCCTAGGTCAACTCTGAAGATGGTTCCCTACCTTAATATTTATGGTGGGTGGCAAGCAAATCATCCTAGCAGCAAGTCTAGAAGGTTATCCCAATGAAGGTTGCAACAAGATTCACTTTATATGTCAAGTAAAAGGTGAGGCCCAACTAAGGAGATGACCCAACCTAACAACAGAGACGTAAGAATGATTAGATATGATTCAAGCAGTAACATATCAAAAGAATTTGAAAACCTTTCATAATGAGACTGATCTATCAACTAACCCAAGCATTTCTCACTGTAAATAAAAAA